GAAGATTGGGGGAGAAACATTTTTGAAGACAAGGGGTTGTTCAAAAAGGAGTTCCTCTCTTTCTAATAATTCTAAATGCCTCAGTGGTGAACCTGGAGGCTACGCCAAGCTTATATGTTTTCCATATAAAAGTCATAGAACAGTTTAATTTGCAGAAGTTCTTATGGAGAGTTGTGAGTCGGTGGTGTCATCACCGCCGGCCAACCGGTATCCAGCGGCACCGGGCACCGGCCAATCAGGATGATGCCTTCTGGGCTGTCCGCACTTCTTAGTCGGAGCGCGGCCCTCAAGTCCCTATCCTCTCCGGTATCTGCAGTCGCTAAGCTACAGTTTCTTCAGGTTTTATTGGATGGATTTCCAACCCCTTTTTCGATTGATTTCTTAGACTTCTTTCTAGCTTTGGACGAGAGAATTTTTAAAAATTCTGAAAATTGAGGTTCTTATCAGTTTTTTATAAAAATTAAAAAAATTGCAAAAAGGCCTTTAGACTCAATTTTTTTAAACGTTGGGAAAAAAACAAAAGAAAGTTTTTGTAAATCCGTCAAGTAGATCCTGCGAGAGGGTTACCTTGTGAGGTCAAAAAACGTTATTTTGAGAAAAACCTGCTTGCAGTTTTGAACAAACAGAAGGTTTGCGTCACTCCGTGACAACAAAACGTTAAATTAATTATTCAAATGCTGATCAGATTTTAAAAATACTTGGTCTTAAATCACAAGTTAGGAAATGTGAAATTCTATCAGGAAAAACAGAATTTTTTTTCTTCTTGAACTCCCCTTAAAAGAGAAAAGCGATTGCAGATTAGCTAACTATTCAGCGTTAGCAGCATTGACATTGATACACTTGCTTCGTTACTGCTGAATTCGATTCTAATGATATATTTATTAGCTTCGCAAACAATTCCTGGACTCGGTTCTCAAAAATCTTTTATAACTGCATGAAAAATCGTGGGTCTAGAATTTTTAAATCAATTTGGCAGTGTTGTCAAACGCTCATCCACCGATTTGTGAGTCATTGTGAGGTTCAATTAAGATGGGTTTACGCTTTACGTTTACCTCTGTTGTCAACTATTCGACAGTAGCCCCACTGGCTATGCCATAGCCTTGCCGTGTGAGCGGTATTGTCGTATAAATCATCATCGCTCGCCTGCGTGTAGCTACAGGTATATAATATCAGGTATATAGTTGATAATGTCATAAGCAAATATCGAAAGAAAATGAAATAATCACTCACATGCAGCAGCATCGAACCGAGATTTCACGCAGAGAGCTGAAACCCGAACCGTAGACGCATCGCCTTAGTTGGCAAGGCACCTGATTTTTGTTGTGCAATCCGATTGACCTTTGCCCCTGTTTGAACGATTACTGGCCGGTAATAACCGGGAGGCTTTTGAAGACCTAGGGTTTACACTTGCATTTGCAGCCTTTCATTGCCATTATGGGGAATGTCTAGCCGCCTCATCAATCCTCCATTCGTGTCATGTTAGATATACTTGCGGAACGCTGTTCATTTACGTTAGGCCCATGGCTAAATTTCCAGGTTGTTAATGGGTTTCTAAGATGTGCGGTTTTAAAAAAATTATCGATTATTAACCGAATAATCGATATTATTAAAGAAATTGAATCTTCCTTAATCAGTAAACTAGGTCTAATGTCAAGCTCTTACAAGTATGGTAGCGTGATAAAACCCAAGATTGCATGACTCTGTACCTATTCATGTGCGAGAAAAGAGAGAACCAGGAGGAGGGAGACAACAAAGAGAAGGAGGAGGAGGAAGAGGAGGAGGAGGAAGAGGAGGAGGAAGAAAAATACAAGGAAGAAAAAAAGGATTGGTAAAATGTTATTTCTAATGAATGAAATAAAAACGAATGTTAATATTAAGACAGAATCTTTGAAAGAAAATCCACCAACAATTAATTACTGATTTGGAAAACAAGGGCAAAATTCCCAAAACTAAACGACGGTCTTCCTTAAGGCTTTTACCTGACCGCATGTTCGTCAAAGTCCTACAAAGATCTAAATACTTTAGGAGTCAACTATTGCTGCACTAAGGATGTTTTCTGGCCTACCTCAAAAATTGAAGGCGAAATAAAAATGAGCGAATTGCAGTGTCAATCTATCAATACTTATTTCTTTTCTTGTCGATTCTGCTTCCTCTAATTAGTCAGTGAAAAAGTGCCGCGCTAATCATCACTCCGATCTACGCCAGGGATAAGTAACATTAAAATACATATACGCGTGAAAGAAATTATGACTTGAATAATACGTACACGTAAAACAATACGCATAAGATATAAAGTAACTTGTCCTGGATTCTGACATTGTTAAACTGGCGTGAGAATCATCGCACCAGTTCAGTAAAAATCTCGGTACCTAGTTACTGAATTTTTAGCTAAAAAGAACGATTTTCTCACGAGCGTAAAGAATCATTTTTCACAAAAAAAAGAAAAAATGCAAAATGTAGAAAAATGAAGGCAGTTTTTCCCCTCAGGAAAATGCTGCTTTCATATTCCTGAATTTTGCAAATTTTTTTGTTGAAATTGATTCTTTGTAGGTTCAGAAGCAGGGGCTAGTATCCTCTATTTTCGCTAAAAAGTAAAAATCTCCAAGATTTTTTACTTAGTGGATGCGATATATCGCACGCCAGTTCGACCGCGCCGGAATCTGGGACGAATCATCTTAAATTTAAGAAACTAAAGCTAAAATTAAAGAAACTAGATGACAATAATTGTAGAATCTCCGTGCGTTGTCCGTAATCTGAGTCAGACTTAGGACTTCGTTACAGTAAATCCACGCAGATCCTCTATTTGAGCAATACCGGGCACTGCGGTTCGAAGCGTGTTACATGAGCTCGTTAACTCACCGGAAATGTCAGCGCTCTGATATTAAACAAAGGAATCACCAGTCACTAGTCATGAGATCCTGGGTGTCTTCCAATAAAATCAAAGGGATATATGCCGCTGCTCTGCCGTGCTAAGGAAAAACGTCGTAGGAACATTTGAATGTTGCCAAATTGCCTCTTGGAAAATATTAATTTTTGAAGAACATCATGAGTGTATTTCCTTGAAATTTTCGGACACTTTAGATCAATTTACAAACAAAATCCTCTGAAAAATCGGAAGAAAAATATTGGCAAACTCTGCCGGATAATCATGATTTTTCTGTGGAGATTTGGCAACGCCTGAAGGCTCATACGGCGTTCTCCCTTAGCACGGCAGTACTGACGCTACGTAGGAAGTGCCGAACACCCGCACTGCATCCTCGATCGACAATCACTCATTCTCCCGTTCTAGATTCGATTATGTCTATCGCCGTGCAATCCGGTTATTAGTTTGGTCCTTCTGCAGCATGACATGAAGAAATTTTTCACAGTGTAAATCAAGGGTTTATTCTTGTATAAGACTATGGTCGGACACGTCAGGAATTGCAAGGAGATTACGAAAAACACCGTATCTACTCAGTTGTGTCCCTTCAAAAGAACGTACCGTGCGTGGAAATTCCTGCTCGATGTATGGATCGTGTTTATGCACTTTTTGACGAATCTCATTTTTTTTGATATTCGTGAACTTCATCAGAATCCAAAGTTATGAGAACATTTCAGACTAATCCGGTGAGATTATCGTGGTTTTTAAGCCATTCTTCATCAGAAACAACCCATTTTTTGTTGTAGTGAATATTTGCACCAGATTTATCGCGACCAACAACGGGTCTCGCCGTAACTCAGCGTAATGGTACCTTAGATGCAACTATTTGAACCTGGCGGATGTCCGTGTTGCATATTCAACTGAGTTAAGGCGCTCCAGCTTCTCTGCCCCGAAACTATGTTGCAAGTCACTGGTGCGATTGTTCTCCGATCGGATGCTGTGTACATATCGTATCCGATCTATATACCAATCGAAAAATGTGAACATTCATTCCAGTCTTTCCAAATTTTGGATTGTATTTTGTTTTTTCATATGAAACTCCAACCTATAATTATCAAGTCAAATTATTAAGCGAAACATAAGCCGAGATTTGGGATGCATTGATTTATGATAAGCATTTTCCACCTTTGTCATCGGTATGGTACGAAGGAGGGAAGATTAAGGACGATGAGAAATTGCACTCTGCGCCTTGTTGTAGTAATGTGTAAATTTTAATATTAGACTGCTTAATGCTTGCCTTTCATCATGAAACATTCCATTCAAACGTAAGAGAGAATAGTTATTTCGGTGCATTTTTTAATGAGCGATTGTATCATCTAGAGGAACTAGAATTGAAGCACTAATCACAATTAAACTCCATGTAGAATTGACAAGTTACATTAAAATATGAGAACGTAGAAAGTTGTCAACGCACAATGTTTCTGAAACGATAAGTTATCGATTGATCTAATAGGCAGGTAGATGTCTTATTACTGATTCCTTGAAATTATTCCTAAGAGAGAGGAAGAAATTTTTTTTTAGTAAGTCCGGCAACCTGTTGGTCCATGAGAAAGCGCTAAAGTACAAATCATGTAAAGTTTAGAACATCTTGGAGAGCTGCCATCATGTAATGCTTGTTGGAAACTTTGGACAACGATGTTAAGCTGAGGTTTTTGCCGGATTTGCGATTGTAATCGGAAGACAATAAAGTTTCATCATTGTTTTCACCAGTATGACAAGTTTATATTATTCTGAGGTGAAAATGATTCATGTATCCATAATAATTATCCATGGTAATGAAGGAAAAGACTAAAGCTGTCTCTCTTAACTGAACGCGATGAAATGACGATTTGAATATGACATCAAGAATCTTTCAGCTCAAAAAAGGAGAAAAAAAGCCAGTCGTCTTTTTGATGATCAAAATTTTTTCTGTGGTATTATTTAACAATTTTCATTCAGATTAGTAAAATACTGATGTAAAATACTATTTTTACTGAGAAAAAAAATACATACCTCTTCTCCGCTATATGGTTTGTATTAATTGTATTAATTTACGACTGAAGTTATGAGAAATTTTAAATACGTTTCTATATTTTTTCAGGGTATCGACATGTGGGTGCCGACACTGGTCTTCCTTGCCATAATCGAAGTAAGTTTGCTTATTTTTTTCCTTTGTAGTTTCGTTGATAATTCGGTACCTAATACGTAATAAACCGCGAGTTGGACTGCATGCACCGGTAAAAAGGAACTTACTTTTGAGCGGGAAATAACGGGATCTTCATAAAATGGCATGCATGATTTTTCTTGAAATCATTGTAAATATTTTATACCAATGCTTCATTCTTCTTTGAAAATTAAATATGCTTTTTTCGAGATTTGAATAGAACAAAAAATTTCTCCTAAACTCTATTCATAGTTGAATTCATTACTTATTTAAGGCGGAAGGAATTCAAACAAACTCACATCGGAAAGAAAACTGTCATTCTCTCAAAGTATACTAATTTTCAAAGATATCGCTCAACCTTCATGTTTAAATTTCAAGTGTTTCGGCGAGAAAACGCACACAGCTCAAAATTTGTCTCAACTTATTTATTTGTAAAATGTGGCTTGGCTTCTCGCTGAGTATGAAAACGATTTCTTTTTGACACCGTACGTCTCGTGTTAACTTTAACCAACTTCACCAATTCAGTCGTAACATGGCTCCATTCAACCCCCTCGCCCCTTCCCCCTTCATACAGTTTGAGCTAATTTTTTTACGATTTCGTGCGGGAATGTAAAATAGCGTACGACCCGACCCCTCGCTAATATAGAACGCAGTAGGTTAGATTCAGTATGATAATTTACAAAAAGAACCGCCATGACGACTGCACGACAATACGGACCCCACACTGTCGCGCTACACTCAAGGAAGTTGGGCACTACACTGATTCACGACAGCCATGTGGACGTATTTCTGCCGAACGGTAGTATGTGCATTATGACGTGAGCCCTGTTATACACATAATCTCATGGGTCACAGGGCTCATGTCTCAATGCACATAGTTCCGTTTGGCAGAAATACGTCCATTTATGACATTCGAGTGCCATACGTACGTACTAAAATCCATGAGCTATCTACATTGTTACATGGATCCTGTCACGCATGTATTCTCATGAGTCCCGGGGCCCACACTAAAAATGGAGATAATTTCTTTTGATTTAAATAGTCCGTATAATGCTCCTCGTTGAGTGGTTGCATGAGTTGTAAACCGTGGTCGTGGGTCCCCCCCCCCCCCCCCCNAGCGTAGCACCCCGTCCCCCGCCACTCCCAATCGTTACGTCGTCAAGTCTATCTAGTCAAGAGAGGCATATAATCGGCGCGTGGGAGGATGCATGGGGCTCAAAGGGGGTGTACGTCTCGTTTTTTTCGGCGTTGAACGATATTCATGGCAAAACCCTTATAATGCTGTGCATATTAATTCCTGATTCTAAGTGCTCTAAAATATTGATCAACTGAGGAATTACTTCTGGATTGCTCTAGCCTTAGTTTGCAAAACGACTATTCTGCCGTGCTAATGAAGAACGCCGTATAAACATTCGAAAGTTGCCAAATTTTCCTTGATAAAACATGTATTTTTGACAACATTCGTGCATATTTTTCCTTGAAATTTTGAGATTTTTCGATTTAATTGCTTACAAAATTGTAGGAAAATTTTGGAAACTAAATTTCACAATTTTCCAGTAAATTTGGTTTTTATCGGAGGAAACTTGGCAACGTCTGAAAGCTCATACGGCGTTCTCCCTTAGCACGACAGTATTCCCTAACTTTTTTCGAAAACTAAAGATGGAAATGGGTGCATCACATGGATCGCATTTAGTAAAGATAAGAGGATCCAGCGCGATTACAGTGTCGTAAAAATACTGCTCCTTCATTATTATCTAGGAACTCTCTCGGAGTAACAAGGAGTTTTCGCTTCCCACCAAAAAATTGGTAATATTAAAGGAAAACAATTGTGTACTTTGTAATACTGTACATAAATTGATTACTTTCAACATGGAGAAAAAAACTTCGTGCATGGGACCCGAAGTTGAGGTCATGTGGATCTCTGAAGTTTCCGGATCACGCATCCGAAAACTTTAGGTCCAGCTGCCGAAGTTCGGGAGAGACTTCTGAAGTACTTCGGTATATATACTGAAGGGTTCAGGTCACACATCTGAAGTATTCCGGTGCATACCGAGAGCTTCAGATGTCTAACCCGAACTTCGGCAGTTGGACCTCGGCAGTCGGATGCGTGATCCGAAATCTTCGGAGATCCACATGACCTCAACTTCGGGTCCCATGCACGAAGTTTTTTTCTCCGTGAAAATGAGAGAAGAAATCGCACGATTTTGAAAACGCTGTAATCGCGCCGGTTCTTTTTTGCTAAATGCGATCCACATGTGACTCTCGAACTTTGGGAAAATTCGTTTACGCGCCAATTTCCCGGAATTTTGATTATGGAAGAGGTGCGGGGAAAAGGCCGATCAGGAGGAGAGAGAGGAGAATAAGGAGGGTGCCCAATTAATAAAATTTGGCAACTACGTCCACAGTCGCACGGCCGGGTCTTCCTCTGTTGACGGACACGGGACCCGCGTCTGTCCGTACTTCTAACACGCTCTCAACTTCAATAAATGCAACTCAAAGCTTTCGCTGCATGTCTTAATCGATCCTCTCAGCTTGCGCAATTCAAGTCCTATCAAACGCAAGTACCTTGTCATATTAAGTCACCTATAAGTCGTATTAGGGAATTGTAGTGATAGGCCCCGTGAGTGATACTCCTCGGATCCCGAAGAATATTCTGATGGGTCTCTATGGTCTCTACCTGGACGCGATATGTCTGCATGATAATTGATTATGTCAAAGATAAAGATATCTATTCTCGCCTGAAACCTAAAATCAAGGAAGTATTAACTCCGAAGAATTATATACAACACTGGAAAAAAACTTATTGAATCTAGAGTCCAGACTCTTGAAAACATTGACAAGAAAAAATACTCTTGATTCAATCAGATTTAAGCTTGAATCAAAAGGAAATCCGCTCAAATTAAGAGGCTTGGTTCTTCATTTAAGCAAAAATCCGATTGAATCAAGAGTATTTTTTCTTCTCGATGTTTTTAAGAGTCTGGAATCTAGATTCAAATTGTTTTTTTTTTTTTTTCAGTGAATCCATAAATGCAGATAAAATATTGAAAAAAAGAGAAAAAAGAGAAAAAAAAGAAAAACAAGCAGTGAACTCCAACACAATGTGTTGATAAGGCGCGTCATTAACTCGCACATATCAACCCCTTTAGTTTTCATTTACAGAGATTTCAAAATAGGCAAACAGCATAAAAAGAGAATTCACGATCCAACACTGCGAGGTCAAAGACGCACCTTGACGAGACCGTGTATTGTGAAAGTAGAAAGCTATTCGATCGAATTTAAGTTTTTTGATCTGCCTCAAGCAAAATCTTATCAGATTCTTGAAGAAAAGTGCTACGGAATAATTTAAGCGAAGAAAGGAAAAATTCTGTCGAACTCCTAGAAGATAAAGTCGATTTAAAGGTATTTTGGGGCTAAAATACCCAAATCACCGGTAGTAAAAATCCCGTTATATTATTGAAAAGAAATTGACTCGATATAAATGCAATTGCATTAAATACGTCTTGATTTTGTTATTTTAAACGTCTTTCCATGCAAAGAAGTTCAACCATGTCGTTGCTTTATTCATTCATGAATTGAAAGTAAGCAATCTACATCCCGAAAATCTACTGATTTGCCGTAAAAAATTGCAGAAACTTGATATACCAGGTCGATGCACCCACTCGTTGAATTTACCAACCAATTTTGTGAGTGCAAATGTGTAAGAATCAATATGCTATAGTCATTTTGGGTGCATTTATTTTTCATGAAACAATAATAATTTCAATCCCGAAAAACCATCAATTTTCCGTATAAAATCGAAAAAATCAAAATATGTCAACTCCCCGACGTGAAAATTAGATTCTACGTATGTAAAATGTAAATACTTATGTATCGATATGCTGAACAGAACTATGTGTGGACAGTCAGAAGCCCGCGGCAACATTAATTCAACAGAAAAACTGTAAAAATTAGATAGGATTTTAGCCGCTTTGCCCGCCTCTCCTCGCTACTTACAACAAACCGTTCTTATACTCATCTCAAAATTTTTCTCAGAGCTTTGGGTTATTATCAGCTTCCATTTAAACTCCGGTTCGATGGCCGAATCGGCTGCCAAAAAAGCAAGCCACTGTTGAGGGGTTCTATGAGAAATTCGTGATATTATCGGCTCTCAGGAAATCACCCCATGGCTAAAATTGGTGGTATAAATGTTTAAGTGCTTAAAATAATCGTATTCAAGAAACTAAGGAATTAAACTATGGAGTCAATTTCTTTTTAATAATATAACGAATTTACTACCGGTGATTTAGCTATTATAGCCCCAGAATACTTTTAAAGCGCCTTTGCGTTCCAGAATCTCGACGGAATTTTTTTTTTTTTTTTTTTTGCTTAAACGATTCAAGAAACATTGTAGTTAAAAATATAAAGATTTTTCGATTTGGACGTATGAAAAATGTTTAACTCGTTCAGGCACACCGTGTATTGTATGGAGTACTGCTGTTATTCGACCGTTGTCTTCAGGTCAAAATTCTTACAAAGAAGCCCCTTGCAAGAGGCAAATTTTTTGTAATTTCTCCCAGTTTTTTCAGCGTTAGGTATATAAATGAATTGTTTGTCAAATTTTGAGGTCAATTATATTTAATTGTAATTTATACTTTCTTTTTTTCCCCTTCATTTTATTTTTCGTATCGAGGAGTCGAGGTTTTGTTGATTTCTTCGGATTTCGATTACTGTAACTTCTCTTCTATTCGGCCGATTTTTATGAATGAGGTCTCTTTTTATTTGTGTTTTAACGGAGAGTAAGGAAAAAATTGCTAAATACATGCGAAACAATTTTTTTTGAAAATTGGATGAATCCTAGCGTGACGGTGAAATGGTTAATGAAGCGTGAGTAATTGGGGTACGGGTATCGGCCGCGTTGGGACCCAAGGCCCATTGTTCTTCGTGACGCCGACGCAGTGATCAGGAGCGTGGGGACGAGAGGGCTTAGTGGACTCCTGTATGAGCCA